ACAATATCCCACCTCTGCTACAGTATTCCCTTATGTTACAGTAATATTTTTTTAAAAACAGTGTCCATTTCCATATTTGCTGCAGTGATAATGCTACAGTAAATATTACTGTAGCATGAATGATGAATCTTGAATTCTCCCGTTTATATAGAGGAATAGATTCATTTGTACGAATCAAACCAAGATACATGGGTCCCTCTCTCCTAATTAATTAAGTACATGTTGAGCAAATCTATAATAGATATGATGTGAAAGAAATAAACGTCACAGCTATAATCAATTAGGGAAGCTTAATCTTGGACCCACGCTCAAGTAAATACACAAAGATCTAGAGTCTTGAGAGTGGTTTACTTTTATTAAAATGGTTTAATATAATCAATCAAATTGTTCATGTGACCATTTAAACAAGAGTGGCACTAGGGGCACACCCCCAAGCACAACTCCAAACACACCCACTCTCTCATTTGCTACAGTGCACCGGGCCCCACATGAGATTTTAAAATTTTAAAATCTCATGTGGGGCCCGGTGCACTGTAGCAATGAGAGAGATGGTGTGGTTGGAGTTGTGGTTGTGGGTGTGTCTCTATCATTTTCCTTTAAACAACTATAAATCATGTAATGAATCCTGATCTCATCTTTTGGTTTGCTATTAGGAATTTTAGGACTTTATTGGATAACTGATAGTCTTGAATTTCGGTATTGAAATTAAAATGTAGGATTATAATTGGAAGTAATTAAATTTTCTTCAATTACCAGAGAGGACCCAGATCCCACCCACGTGATTTAAAATTTTATGGGTACACAGTAACATTTATAGAGTAAGGTTAAATTTTTGCCTCGGCTCTTAATAGATTTTTTTTTTACATTTATTCGAATGGTAATTTAATCAATCAAATTATTCATGTTGACAGCCACCAAAATAATTTTTTTTCTTTGTTCTATTAGGCAAACTTATCAGGTAAATGAAAGGTGCAAGGAATTTTACTTTATGGAAGATGAGGCATGAACAAAAAATAATATTATAGGAAACTTATAGTCGTGCAACTGAAAATACGAGTAAGTTATAGAAAATGCCCCGGAGATTTGAATGATCGACATAAAATCAAATAATAATCATATATATATGTTTATATGTAAGGGCATATAAGTATGATATTAACGTTTAGGTCCAAGTTAATTTGTTAAAAGTAAAAAAAATGGGGAGATAAATTAGCACTTGTTAAAAAGAAAACTTACGAGAGTTTCCAGCTAATCATGCAGGTATCAGGGAGACTTTTGTAATTTAGCCTACAAATGTATAAAGTAGTTTATACACACGCACAATTTTGATCACCAAAATATATTAACATACAAGTATTTAATAATAATTTAATTGCTTGAAATTGTATGACATCATCAAATCTATTTTGACATAGGACACTTTGAAGTAGACGAAAGAAATTGTTGTTGAGTAGAGGTCTTCCAACAAAATTTTTCGTTTAATAAAAAGGCTTGTAAAATTTTGAAAGTCCAAATGAAGAAATTCAACTTCATCAGATGTCGTTAAAAACCTTTTTGATGATTGAAGACATGAGGAATTGACGTGTTTTATTATCTAAAGACTAAAAAGCAGGCAGTTATCTATTGGTATATAGGCATGAGTTTATCATATTAGTTCACATATTTTACACATCTATATAACGCTATATATGCACACACAGTTATACATTTGATCAATAAACACGATGGTTCACAAAATATTTCATATTACTTTTCACACATCAGTATTATACTTATCATGTTTAGTATTGTAAAAATAAGAATGAATATTTTTATATATTTTCCTAAAGTATTTTTGGATATATCCAAAAGTTTGAGCTCAATTTATACTTGAATATAGCACAAAATTTCTCTACATGTACACAGTACATATGTGTTATAAAATATCAAGCAAAAAGAGTGTACTTGTTAAAAGATGACCAAAGATCCACACTCTACAAATTCACAACAAAATTTAGTGTATTTGTTAGAGGGAGGTCAACGACCCACACTCATGGATAAATGTGCCATATCTCAATCCTATACTAAATACTTCTATCTTTAGAGATGGTATACATTACCTTCCAAGCACTATTGTTCTTCCTCTTAAAAATTCATATATGGTTGAGATGATAGGGTGAGATTTTAGACTTTTTCTAAAGATTGAGATAATTCAAGTTGTGTAACAAAAGAATAAGCTCAAACTAGATAAGAAATACCTAAATGTATTTTATGAATTAATATAATTACTTTTATTATTGTTTTTACAAAATTTTTATCGATATCTTTACAGTTTGTGTATGAATTTAATATGACTTATCATCGTATTTCAGTTGTTTGAGGTTATATATGTATCTCGTGTGCTATTTTTTACAAAACTTTTGTGAACTAATGTATATTTCTCTTCCTTTCACTTTTCGATAACTTTTATCTGAATTCTTAGTTATATTGCATACCCTTGGTGTGTTTTTTCTTTTGCTAGTAATAAAAGAAGGAGAAATGTGAAATTTTAAAATATTTTATGAGTTGTTTGTGCTTTATTAAAGTTTTTCAAATTAATTTCATGATTGATTTTTTGTTTACAAGTAAAGAGATCTACAAAAACGCCACCTCTTTTTAGAACGATTGTGAGAACATTGTTCAAACAAATATCTCTTATCTAATAAATAATAAACTCTCCTTTGATAGTGATATATTTTGTGAGATGATATATTTCAGGTATAAATAGCTATGAGCAAGATGCATCTTAAAATAATATAAAAACCAACACAAGCATTGATTTCAGCCTTCGCATCACCAATGCTCAAGAGGCACCCATTGATGGTCAAGCATCTCATCGATGGTTATAGTAACTAATCGGAGAAAAATAAAGACAGGAGTTGGCACCATCGATGGTCAACAGTGACTTATCGATTATCATATGGAACCATCGATAGTTACAGGAAATAATTTAAAAATTTTAAAAAACTAGAATTAGCACCATCAATGGCTACAATAGAACCATCGATGATCACCAAGGGGCCATCGATGGTCGTGATCCACCATCAATGGTCATGGAAAATTTTGATAGTTTTTTGGATTTAATCTCAGTCGTTTATCGACCCGTTTGGTTTCCTATTTGTACTTAGATTTAGGTATCTCTTTCCTATCCTATCAATTAAGGTCTATTTAAGAAGAGTTAGAGATCATAATTAAAAAAATGAGGCAAATATATAAAAAGAGAGATATTCGTCCTAGGGTTTGAGAGGAGAGAGAGAGAGTTGATCAGATTTTTTGAGCCCCGTTCAACTTCTTCTCAGTATGATTTTCATATGAGTTTGATTCAGCAAGAAGGAGTGCCCTATGCTTACACCGCTACACCACTTCTTCACGGATTTTCATCTTCATGGATTAGAAGAACGATTTAATAAAAGGTTATAAGATTGTACTTTTTGTGCTTTAATTATTTTGTTTGTTTGTATTTAAAACTTGTGAGTTTGATAGCATACTCAATCCAGGGTATTTAAAAGTAGTTTTTGCGTATATTCCAGAGAGTGGTCTTTGAAGCATGCTGATTCGGGTTGTGATTCGGGTGAATTCCAGTTATAATGTGGAAGGCCCTTCGCGAGACGGAAGCGTAGATGTAGAATTTTTATTCGAATCACTATAAAAATCTCGTGTGTTCCAGTGTTAATTTGCTTTTAGTCTTTGTTGCAATTTCTGAGACATGTCAAAAAACTATAGCAATACTATTCAAACTGTTGGGGGCCGACACGCCCACCTCGCCACGGAAGCGAATCACCTTGAGAGAAAGCCCTGGCTTTTGTTTTCATAAAACACAAGACAATCTCGATGTTCTTGTTTCGCGATGGAAACAAGAACATAAGTAATATACCTCAGCAAGGTGAGATATACACTCTTCTCAATATCAGATCTAGGTCTGAATATTGAGGAAACCAACAAGCAATAGCCAACACACAGAAAACAATAAAGACACAAGATTTACGTGGTTCGAAAAACTTACCTACGTTCACGAGGAGCGGTGAAGGGAGATTTCACTATAAAGGAGAACATCGACGACTTGCACAACCAGCAAGCTCGTCTCAAAGAGAAGAGGCTTGGATTTTACCCAAGAAAATTGACCTCTTTCTTGTACAATCACTTCAAGTTCTCTCTCTTTTCTCTCCTCAAGATTACACATTTTAGATCTGAAAAACTCTCTATGCGGCCACCTAAAACCTCAGAAAACCCTCTAGGAAACCCTAGGAACGAGTTCCTATTTATACCCAAAGAATTAGACCCGAAAACAGGCCTAAAAACTGCATCTAAAAAATCCCGTCGGTTGTCTCGGGGCCCGCACGAGACAGCTTTTTGTGTCTCGCGCACGAGACAGCGCAGTGTCTGGCGGACGATGTGTCTCTCCTGTGCGACGGCCGACGAGACAGTTGAGGTGTCTCGGCGGCGACCACTATTTTGTATCTCGCGCCACTGGCGAGACACCAATTTGTGTCTCACGGCTTGTGTCTCACAGTCACTATTTATAATTCTCTATCTCGTACATTATTTGATAAACCTTAAATTTTGTACGAACACCAAAAGAATGTTGCGAGCATAGAGATCTAAAATACCAAACCAGGCCAAAATCAGCTGCACCATTATACCATGACTGCCTACGTACCCTCTGACCGGGATCAAGCTAACTGTAGTTTTGAATAGTCTCCATATAGTCTCCATCTCACCCCATTACCGACCCGAAGGGCCATGCCCTCTTGGGCAGATCAACACGGGCTGATATGAAGCAAGTCCAAATAATAATGAAACTTGTTACCTATAACCATCTTTGTCAACATGTCTGCGGGATTTTCATTTGTGTGCACCTTTATGAAAGAAATATCACCTTCCTCTATGACATCTCGTACAAAATGATACATGACGTCGATATGCTTGGTAAGAGCATGATGAACTTGATTCTTAGTCAAATGAATCGCACTCTGACTATCACACTATAAGTTCACATCATCCTGCTCAACCACCAAATCATCTAGAAGACCCCACAACCATAATGCTTCCTTCACTCCCTCTGCCATGGCCATGTACTCAACTTCTATAGTAGAAAGTATTATTCTAGCATGTAATATCGATCGCCAACTAACTGGAGCACCATGTGTTCTGAACACATAACCAGTAGTAGATCGTAGTCTGTCTAGATCGTCCACATAATCTGAGTCCACAAACCAATCAATCTAACACGTATCTCCATCAAAGCACAGACTCGTATCTACAGTACCCTTCACGTACCTCAGGACCCATTTCACTGCTTTCTAATGTATCTTTCTCGGATTCGCCATGAACATACTGATAACACTGACCGTCTGTAAAAATATCTAGACGTGTACACATCATTGCGTACATCAAACTGCTAACTGCACTAGCATAAGGTACACGCTCCATAGGTGTTTTTTCTTTCACTATAGTGAGAGATTGTTTACCTAAGAGCCTAAAGTGTGGAGCCAATGAAGTCACTGCCGACTTAGCACTTTGCATCCTAAACCTTGCGATAAACCGCTCAATATAGCCCTTCTGACTCAAAAACAATCTCTAATTTGCCCGCTCTCTTCTAATCTACATGCCTAGTATTTTCTTAGCAGTGTTCATGTCCTTCATCTCAAACTCTTTACTAAGTTGAGATTTTAACCTATCTATCTCCACCTTACTTCTCGAAGCAATAAGTGTGTCATCCACATAAAAAAGAAGATAGATATAAGCACCTTCACGAAGCTTTCGAATATAGACACAATAGTCATAATCGCTTCTGGAGAACCCATGCTTTAGCATGGAGTCAAATTGCTTATACCACTATCGAGGAGATTGCTTCAATTCATAAAGTGATTTCCTCAAGCAACATACATGATTCTTCTTATCTCCAATCTTGTAACCCTCAAGCTAATGCATATAAATTTCCTCCTCTAAGTCTCCGTGCAAGAAGACCGTTTTGACATTGAGTTGTTCCAGCTCAAGATCACCATGAGCAACAATACTCAATAGCACCTGAAAAGAAGTGTGTTTCACCATTGGAGAAAAAATATCATTGTAATCCACATCCTCTCTTTGTGCAAACCCCTTAGCCACTAGTCTAGCCTTGTATCTTATATCGCCGAGCTCAGAAGGATCCTCCTTTCTCTTATACACCCACTTACAACCAATAGCTTTTCTCCCTACGGGCAATGGGACTACTTCCCATGTTTGGTTTTTCCGGAGAGATTCCATCTCTTCCTCCATCGTAACCAACCAACTCTCACTATCCTTATCTTGAATAGCTTCTTTGAAGGTGACCGGATCGTCATCCTCCACTGAGAGTGTGTACTTAACCAAATTTACCTGCCCATAGTGCTTCAGAGGCTGGTCTGACCCTAACTTCTAAACCTGCTTGTATGCTCGCTTTGGCCTAGTGGAAGCCAAACTGTCTTCGAGCTGCTGTTGTTGTAATACATGTACATTTTCTTGCTGAACCTCCTCCTTTTCAAGTTCATCATCATTTTTTTCCCGAGTGTCTTCATGATCCTCCTCTTGAATATGACTAGAACCTAGTTGGTCTTTAGGTTCTATCTTAATTATCTGTGATTTTAAAATCTCAATAGTCTCAACACCATCATTCTCGGGCGCCCTAGCTTTTGATAAAGCTATCATGGATTTCTCATCAAAGGTAACATCTCTTCTAATCACGAACTTAGAATTTTCTGTACACCAAAGGAGATAGCCTTTTACATCCTTTGCATACCCAAAGAATATTATCTTATTGGCCCTTGCGTCAAGCTTTCCCTAGTTGACATGATAGTAAGTTGTACATCCAAAAATTTTGAGCTTATCATAATCTGCATGCTCCTCTGACCATACCCGATAGGGTACATTATCATCCAATGTCGAATGTGGAGAATGATTCACTATGTAACAAGTTGTAGCAATCGCTTTTGCCCATCATTCTTTGCCCAAACCAGCATATGATCGCATATTCGTTGCTTTCTCTCGTAATGTATGGTTTGGTCTCTCTGCGACTCCATTCTGCTGTGGTATTGACCTGATTGTTCAGTGTCGAGCAATACCCTCCTGATCACAGAACTTTTTGAAAGCACCATCTGTATACTCTGTATCGTTATCAGATATCATTGTCTTTAATTTCCTACCTATTCTATTCTTAACTATTACTTTTTACTTCTTAAATATCTCGAATACCTTATTCTTATGCTTAAGAAAATAAATCCAAGCATACCTAGAATAATCATCTATAAACAAGACAAAATACCTGGAACCACCCTTAAAAATTATCGGAGCCGAACCCCAAACATTTGTATGCACATAGTCTAATATACCTCTGCTTTTGTGCTTACTTTTTAAGAACTGGACCCTGTGTGCCTTTCCGTATACACAATCCTCACAAAAATCTATGTAAGGTTTTTTCACGTTCTTCAGCAAACCTTCCTAACCAAGCAGATCTAGACCCATCTCTGACATGTGCCCAAGCCACCTATGCCATAATCGAGTGTGCTCACATAGGTCTCCACCACTTCTATCAGTTCCAACCGCTACATCTCATGTCACTGTCGTGCCCGAGAGAGTATATAGATTACCATAACGAATGCCCTTCTTCACTACTAAGAAATCTCGAACAACCTTCTTTACTCTATCTCTGTACTATCTTGCAGCCATCGGAGTCCAAAGTACCAACTGAGATAAGATTATTCCGTAAGTCGAGAACATGCCTTATATCCGTCAGGGTTCTGACCACTCTATCATGCATCTTGATTTTGATATCACTAAACCCCATCATTTTACAAGCATAGTTATTTCCCATCAATATGGTTCTACCATCAATGCTCCTATAGGCAGTAAACCACTTTCTATTTGGACACATATGGTAAGAGCAACACAAATCAAGGATCCACTTACCGGAGGTATCTTCACCACATGTAACGGTGTAGCATTCTTTTTTGCTCCCTTCCTCCGAGACATAGCCTACCTCTTTATTGCTTTCTCTTCTCTCAGTTTTATTGTTATTCTTCTTCCCACCTACTCTATTATTAGGACAGTCAACCTTGAAATGCCCAAGCTCACCACATTTGAAACACGGTCTTCCTACAAGAGGTCTCGATTTTGATTTAGACTTTCCTTCCTTGTTTTTTCCTCGCTCATTACCCCTTTCTCTTACAAACAATCCATGTGCTTGCTCCTTGTTATCACTAGTAGCCATGTCACTAGTTGTAATTTTTCAAAGATCATCCACTAGAAGCGTCGTTCTAGTCTCATTCATCTTCAAATTATCACCTAGAAGCATCAATGTTTGTACTAGGTTCTCATAAGACTTCGTTAAAGAAAGAAGTAGTAGAAGTGTTTGATCCTCATCTTCTATTATCACATCGATGTCCTTCAAATCTGATATGATCATATCGAACTTGTTGATGTATTCCCTGATTGATGATCCTTCCTTTATTTTGCAAGTATACAATTTGGATTTTAAGTAGATCCGATTTGTTAGACTCTTTGTCATGAATATACTCTCTAACTTTGACCACACACCCGTAACCATTTTCTCTCCATCCACCAAGAAAGGTACATCACTCTCAAGGCATAGGATAATCGATACTCGTTCTTTGAGATCTAACTCTTCACAATCCTCATCAGATATATATTTGTGCTTCTTTTCTTTTCCTACCAAAGCCTTATGCAATTTCTACGAAAACGACGAGTTTCTCATTTGCACCCTCCAATAGAAAAAATCATTCTTACTATTAAACTTTTCAATCTCATACGTTCCCACTTTGATCTTTTTACTAGTAGACGTCATTCTCCGCTTGTATTAGTTAAATTTGCTTCTCTCAGGAATTTTAACAAAATACCTTGTATGTACCACACAATAACCAAGCATCACCTCAAATCGAAAGTTCTACTACCACCAATCTGATCAAGGGGCTCTGATACCAATTGTTGGGGGGCGACACGCCCACCTCGCTGCAGAAGCGAATCGCTTTGAGAGAAAGCTTTGGCTTTTGTTTTCACAAAACACAAGCCAATCTCGATGTTCCTGTTTTGTAATGGAAACAAGAACATAAGTAATATATCTCAGCAATGTGAGATATACACTCTTCTCAATATCAGATCTAGGTCTGAACATCGAGCAAACTAACAAGTAATAGCCAACACACAGAAAATAATAAAGATACGAGATTTACGTGGTTTGGTAAACTTGCCTACGTCCACGGGAAGGGGTGAAGAGAGATTCCACTATGAAGGAGAACACCGACGACTTGCACAACCATCAAGCTCGTCCCAAAGAGAAGAGGCTTCGATTTTACCCAAGAAAACTGACCTCCTTCTTGTAGAATCGCTCCAAGTTCTCTCTCTTTTCTCTCTTCAAGATCACACCTTTTAGATCTGAAAAACTCTCTCTGCAGCCACCTAAAACCTCAGAAAACCCTCTAGGGAAGCCTAGGAATGAGTTCCTATTTGTACCCAAAGAATTAGACCCGAAAACAGGCCCAAAAAACCAAATCTGAAAAATCCTGTCGGTTGTCTCAGAGCCCGCGCGAGACACCTTTTATGTCTCGTGCGCGTCGTGCGGGTGTCTCGTGCGCGTCGCGCTAGCGAGACACTTGAGGTGTCTCGCGAGCGAGACACAATTTTGTGTCTCACAG